TAATTATCAATACTCGGTTCCATACTAAAAAATTCAATGTGTTATCGCACCACAGCTTCGCTTGCACCGAATTAATTTACTCACACTTCACAGTCAACCTAACAGATGGTTCATCGCCGTGTTTCTCGTCAACAAGCCCCACTTCGCCAGTGTAGAAGTAGCCAGGCCTCTGCTCAAACGTGAAAGCGCCTTCCGCCAGAGTTTCATCAAGCTTCAGGTGTCTGGCATCGCGCACTTTAATTGTAATTTCGGAGTGGCTGTCATTGGAATCAAAGGTCCAGGTCTCTTCGAAATCTGCATTGGAGCCAGCGTCCTTGGCAGTCTTGGTGTGCCATGAGTGGAAGGTACCGTAGTGGCATTCAACGTACAAGTCCGACTTGTTGAACAGACCAGTGTGGCCCTGGAAACCAGCAGCAGAATGTACCGTAACAGAAACCTTCATTCTGAATTGAACTAGCTAGGACGTGAAAGGACGATTTGGCAAGGACCAAGTAGACAGAACGATGCGGCCACACACAATTCGCGGTCTTTGAGCCTTTTCATTAAGGTCATTTAAGGATCGCAAGCATCCCTCAGGCGGCGGAGAGAACATGACACCAACCTTCAAAGCCCTGCAAAGATCGGGGAAAACGTGTTGACACATTTCCTCTATCAAAGGTTGTTGTTTTTTGGCGTAAAGTGTGCAAGACCAACATAACTGATCAATAGCTAGCATCCCACCTTAACCTCCTGACCTGCCTCTCCCCTTCTGTACCTGCCTTAGCGTCCCTCCTGCCCCCACTCCGGCCCATCGACTCTCCTCCAGCACTTTGGGGACGACTGTCCTCGCCACCAAATTCTTCAGGTGAAGCCGACCTCTTAAAAACCTCTTAAAAACCTTTGCAGCATGTCGTGGTGGTGCCCAATGGAGGAGCGACCGAATACCAGGACCAACCAAAAGCCCACTCCCGATTGGCTCGCCAGCAGGTGTTCGCTGGCCATGTTAGTGCTGGGAGTGGATGGTGAGCGATAGTCACTCTTTTCACGATGCGGCCCGCTAGCGAAGAGGAGGATGAGACGGTCATGATTGCTTGGTTGAAGTTGGGGGTTGGGAGGCGCTGGCAGCGTTCATCGGCCCGAATGGGAAGTTGTCGCCCATCGGCGGTTGCATCGCGAGGATAGAGGCGGTGTCAGACGGTAAGGGTGTCGCCGAAGTTCTGGCCTTGGCGCCTCCCTCGGAGTTTCTGGGATCCTGCCTCTCGGACTATGACTGGCTCCGTTGGACTATGTCTGCCACCCGGAAGGGTCCAAGAGGCAAGTCTCTCCGTACGGACGACGCAAGTTCTGACAGTTACGTCCCCATTTCTCTGCGTGAGTTCATTTGCAAGGCTTGGACTGAGGTTGGATACAGAGGTGGTGTCATGTTCTGGAAGACGCACCTCGGCGAAGATAACAGCGACACCGGTGTGATGGCTGCTCGTTGCGATGGGTCTTCTGCTGACATCCCGGACTCCAATCGTGCGACCGCCACTACTCCCGCGGCTGCCCCTGCCGCCACTTCTAGTCCTATGGCCACACCTGCTCCCGTGCTTGCGATACTTGAATAACCCGCACACGCAAAGAAAATAATTACCACTTATATAGCTTCCGGCTCCTAGCTTCAACCACTTAAAATCTTCCGGCTCCAGCCACTCCGAAATTACAATTAAAGTGCACGATGCCGGACATCACACGGCGCTTTCAAGTTTGAGCAGAGGCCTGATTACTTCTACACCGGCGAAGTGGGGCTTGTTGACGAGAAACACGGCGATGAACCATCTGTTAGGTTGACTGTGAACTGATTCGGTGCAAGCCAAGGATTCACATTTTGGGGTGTTGGGGGAATTGAAGATGTTGTTAAGCTGACGTGCTGAAATCAGCCTGCAGCCGTTCGAAGGCGCAGTGTGCAAGATCCTATTCGCAGTAGCCAGATACTTAATACTTGGGATAGCTCCCGATGCCTATTGGGGCCTCTTGTTTAGACTAGTAATCAATCAAAAAAAAATTAATTAAAACCTTGGTCTCAAAGCAGACAATAAAGTATGCCTCCTACAAGCAGAAAGGCTGCTGGCTGCTGATGCATTTGACTAGATCACAAAATACCGATACAGCAGCGCCACACCACAGGTTCAACTCACCGCCTTGGCCGTACAGGGCGCAGTATCCGTGACAAGTTTCAGTCCGGAGGGGGCGTCATGTTCTGGAAGATAACATCGCTGTATGGTGGCCGCCCTTTGTGATAGGTCTTCTGCTTATATCCTACTCTTATTATGGATCTGAGCGAGATG